AAGGAAGGAAGGAAGGAAGGAAGGAAGGAAGGAAGGAAACTGGGGAGGAAGGCAGGCAGGCAGGCAAGCAAACTGGGGAGGGAGGGAGGGAGGAAGGGAAAGGGAAAGAGAAAGAGAAAGAAAAAAGAAAAGAGTAAAGAAAAGAAAAGACATGGAGGAAGGACAAAATGAGGTCTAGAAGCTAAACCAGGACAGAGTAAAGTAAGACAACTGAGGATATTCTTGAAGCACCTGAAAGGATGTCACACAAAAGAAAGCCGAGAGCGACATTCTCTCAGTCCAGCCCGAGACCCAGAAGGTGAGATTTCAGTTACAGGAAGGCGCTATCCAGCTAGGACGTTAGGAAGCCCTTCCCAACAGAGAAGCCATCTGTCCGCAGAACCAGCGACCCCCAAAGATGGAGACTTTCTTTTCAACCGCAGAGGCTGTCGGGGCCCTTTAACCGAGATTTCTGCCCTCAGCAGGGGGGTGAGCTTGATGCCCTCAAGGGCCCCTTCCCGCACTCCCTGGACTCATGTCCAGAGAGAACGCATTGGAGCTATTTGTGATCCCCGTCCTACCCATTTCAAAAGAGGAGCACCACCCTTCAATACAAGAAGATCACCCCCCGATTTAAACTCAACCCCCTTCTGATTTTTGTTTCCCCATCGCCCTGCTCGCAGCCTGCCCTTTTGAGCCTCTCTGGGCGGCACATGAGGACTAGAAACTTGGCTGAACCCCGCTTTTCAAGGGTGCTAGGGGAGGAGCACCACCATTTCCCACCGCCGGTCTCTCCAAACTTCCCTCAAGCCAGGGGAAGCAACTGCCACCCACGTGCCCTTGGAGGAAGCCACCTGGGGTGGGCACAGTGTTTCTCAACCTTGGCAACTTGAAGATAGGTGGACTTCAGCTCCCAGAATTCCCCAGCCAGCTGAAGTCCACCCATCTTCAGGTTGCCAAGGTTGAGAAACTCTGCTTTAGCAGCTCGCCAAGTCCACCCATCTTCAGGTTGCCAAGGTTGAGAAACTCTGCTTTAGCAGCTCGCCAAGAATGAAACATGCCAGCCTTACCCGGTGCCAGGCACAGAAGGAAGAACCGCAGGGCCCAGGTTCCACTCATGTTGCACGCCAGTCTTGGCAGGGTCAGAAGTGGAGTGGGGAGAGCCCGGGGCAGCCGAGCTTTTCATCCCACGGGCCTGGCCCCGCCCTCCCCTTTTGGATGCCTGTGGGGTGAATAGAAAAGCCGCCCCGCCACAAAAGCGGGTGAATTGGCACGGCCGCCGCCCGCCCGGTTTCCCTTCCACTCACGTTCTTACTCAGCCAAGTGACAAGCAAGCGGGTGTCCTTTCACCATGGGTGCCCCGGGGCACAGAGGGTGCCGCATGGAAAGGGAATGGTTTCATTTTGGCTTTGCTTTTGTCTCCAAAGAACGGGACAGTCAGGGCAGAAGAGATCTTAGAGGTCATCCAGACTGTCCCCGGTCAATACACTGGGCTGAAACCTCTGGAAGGAGAATGCGTCTCCCGCTCTTCCTCAACTTGGCACAGGGGACCCCAGTTCCCCTGGTCTCCAGCCAGCCTCGTTGCCTCCTACCTCCCCCAGGCAAGGCTACCTCTAGTCAACCACACCTATTGGGTGGCCCCTTTGCTTGGGTGGTGGGGCCCTTGCAGGGGGAGCAGGAGGAGGGGGAGTGCGGTGTGCTGGTCAAGGGGCAAGATGTGGGCCAGGGAGACCCTGGTTGTAGTCTCCCCTCAGCCATGGAGGCTCGGTGAGGGACTTGGGGCCAGTCCCTCTCTCTCTGGCTAGCCTACCTCATTGGGATGGTGTGTATAGATAAAATGAAGGACGGCCCCACTAAGATGACTTGAACTTGAGGAGAAGGAGAAGGAGAGGATGAGGAGAAGGAGAAGGAGAAGGAGAAGGAGAGGAAGAGGAGGGGGAGAAGGGGAAGGGGAAGGAGAAGGGGAGAAGAAAGAAAAGAACACAAAGAAGTGAAAGCAGAAGAAGAGGTGGATGAGGGAGAAGGGGCAGGAGAAGAAGAGGAGAGGAAGAGGAAAAGGAAAAGAGAAGAGGTGGGGACCACTGTGGGCACCTGCTTGGGGGCTGGCTGGTGGGCTTAACCATGGACCTTCTCCTTCCCAAACTCCCCAGAGCCACATTTCAGCCTCAGCAGAGAGAGGATATGACTGTTTTTGTGTCAAAAACGGGCAGGAAATGATCTTTGCCACCCGCCGTAGAACCAGCAATTAATTCCCTGGCTTGTCACAACCCGGTGAGGATGACGATTCCCCACGGAGGGGTGGGGAGGGCTGAGATGCCAGCAGAAAAAGAAACCGTTTCTCCCGGAGGAGACCTGTCTAACCATTTTCTTCTTCATCACCTCTCCCCGAAGGCCACCCTTTTTCCCGGCGCAGAAATTTGCCGGAAACGTCTCGGTTGCAGCCTGGGTGGCAGCTTTTCGTGGGGCTGCAAAAATCTTTCTAAATGACCGTTCTCTGGTGTCTCCTTTTCTTTTTTTCAATTTCATTTTAAAATCTGACGACATTTTACCATTGCTCATCTTAAAAGTTAACCAGACTCCAAGCCACTCACATTTGGAACATACAGCACAGAGGACCCAGAAGAAAAAAAAATAAAATAAAATGATGTCTTTTTGGGGGGAGGGAAGAAGGATTCCCCAGAAAGTTGAAGGAAGGAACCAGAGGCACATGGGTTGATAGATTGACCAGAGATGTGCCAATGTCATTGTTGACTCTTAGTGACCACCTAGATGGATTTTCTCCATGATGATCTGACCCCCACCTGGTCCTTCAGGTCTTCCAATGGTGCCCCCATCGCCCCTAACTGAGTCCATCCCCCTTCCTGTTGGTCCTCTTCTTCTCTTTCCGTCCACCTTTCCCAGCATCAGAGCCTTCTCCAGAGATCTGGGTCTTCACATCATGTGTCCAAAGTAGGATCATTCGAACCTGGCCATTTCTCAAGTGTTTCTCAACCTTGGCAGCTTGAAGATGTGTGGACTTCAACTCCCAGAATTCCCCAGAGTTCTGGCTGCCGGTCCTCCTCTTCTTCTCTTTCCGTCCACCTTTCCCAGCATCAGAGCCTTCTCCCCAGAGCTGGGTCTTCTCATCATGCGTCCGAAGTAGGATCATTCGGGCCTGGTTGTTCAAGCCTGGGATGAGAACTCTGGGTTGATTTCCAATATTCATCTGTTTTCTTGGCTGTTCCTGGTGTTCTCAGGAGTTTTATCCAACACCAAACTTCAAGCCCATCAATACTCTTATTTATTTTATTTATTTAATCCACGTGTAAAGCCACCCACCTCAGCAAAAGGGACTTTGGGCAGCGGACAATAAAAAACAGAATGAAAACAATCCTAAACCCAAAAGTGAAAATACAGAGCAGCACAGTCAGCAGCGCTCATCCAGCCGGGAGACAGGTCCTTTTTCCTTATCCTGCTACGTCCGAGTCCGCAATCAGTTTGGAGAAATAAACTAAAAATAAAAGAAATAGAAATAGAAATAGAAATAAAGCCTTGGAGAGACACCATGACAAGGAAGCAGCTTTTGAGAAAAGAAAAGATGGTACTTTTGATGACTGATAGATGATAGAGATAGACAGACAGACAGACAGAATATATATAAATGGGACACAAATCAAATGTACAACACAGAAATTTGTGTGTTAGTTGTTTCTTTCAATTTGGGTTAGTTGTTGTACTTACTGTGGTGTTGGTTTTGGCTCAGTTGTGACCTATTATTATATTCATCACTACCTTTTATTATCTTTATTAAAGTCACTGGCCTAAATCTCCAGGCTGTTTAGCTGGCTTTAGCAGAATGGCTGTATTCTTTATTTCTCAAGGGGAGGTGATGATGGTCTGTGGATTTAGCTTAACATGGAACCTTATACAGGTAGTCCACGACTTACAACCATTCATTTCGCATCCGTTCAAAGTTACAGTGCTGGAAAAAGTGACTTACGACCGCTCCTTGCACTTACGACCGTTGCAGCATCCCCGCGGTCGCATGATTGTGATTCAGGCGCTTGGCAACCATCGTGCATTTATGATGGTTGCAGCATCCTGGGGTCACGTGATCATCATTTGCGACCTTCCCAGCCAGCTTCTAACAAGCAAAATCAATGGGGAACCGCGTGATTCGCTTAACGACCACGTGATTTGCTTAACTGTGTGACTCATTCAATGACCACCTCAAAAATGTTGTAAAATCAGGTGTGGTCATGTGATGCCTCGCTTAACAACTGCACTGCTTAATTATGAATTTTCCGGTCCCTATTTTGGTCGTAAGTCGAGGACTACCTGTACCTTCAATTAATCATTAAAACAGAAACATGGGGAGGGGGTTTCTTAACTTCAGCTTTCAGCTCAAAATGTGTTGGTATACAAACAATCTGATGAAATACATTCAATGCAGCCCCTTGTGCCTTTCTCTAACACAAGCTTTCTTCCGGTGCAATATTGTTATGAACCAGCCTGCAGAAAAACAGGTATTTTATTCAGTTTCTACTTGTCTTTCACATGTGTGAATGCAGGTACCCTGCGCTTGGGTGGAATACAGGGGTGAAAAGATTTAAAAGAAGAAGCTGGGGGGGGGGAGGAAAGGGAGGTTAACACCTTCTTCCCCCTCCTCCAAGATCCAACGTTCTCTTTCCCATAGATGCCTTTGTGCAGCTAAGATAGACTGCTCCTGACCAAGGCAGTTCCACAAAGAATTCCCACTGAGCACCAACCCCCTCCTCTGAATACAAACAGTTTTTACTGGACCCTCCTGCCGCCCTCTTTCTGTTTTCTCCTTCCTTGCCGGCCGTACGCGACGGATTCACATGGGGTAAACTGTATTACACAGCAGGCACCCCGCCAAAAGGAAGTGACTTAGCAAACTGCAGAAAGCTGGTGGTGGTGCTAGATTTTCCTGTTCCAACCTGACCGTGCTCCCTAGCCAGGGTGAAGATCTGAATTCGGTTTCAAGTTAACCGTTAAGAGTGGCCGAAATTTGGCACAAGGGGAGCTTTGGATGAGAATCGTCCAAGTGATATTCAGATGTAAAAGACCTAAGAAGATTTTGACCTTCACAAAGCCCAAATCGGGG